TCGCCTACGCTCAAGTTGCCTGTGTAATAGGATGTCGCTTCGCTGTATAATAATCCCGCTTTAGAAGCCACCAATAATGTCGTTTCACGGTCGTAGCCTTCCGCTAGATATGTAGCTAATGACCATGCCCTTTAGGCTACTGTTTAAGACCCTATTTTTAGATATTAATAAAGCTCGGAACCTTTATATATATATATAACTACTACTCTGCAGCTGGCTATAGAATAACTTATTCTGTAGCCACTTTTGAGTTACGATAATTATTATGCTAATTTACATGATTATAGTAACTCCTTACTAAGTGATTAACTATAATGTCATGATAAATATCCCCATGTGTTATAGTAACATAATTATCGTAAATATGTATTGACATTATCATAAATTAGTATATAGAATTATCGTAAATAGAGGTGGCTACAGAATATACTCTCCACATATATATATATATATATATATATATATATATATATATACAGAATAGTACGTCTATATATATCTGTGTACTATTTATGTGATTAGTGCGTATTTGTGCATGATCCTGACGCAAATACGGATGCATTGAGACTCTTAAATTGAGGGGCCGACATATTATTAGTCCCTTAATCGTGCTATCATTTAATTCACCAAAACCTACTTAGGACTTAGGTGCACTTTCAAGGGTGCTGCTCTAGAGATTGAACAACAACTATGGTCACACCATCATCCCCTTGTCCTCCTTCCAAAAGGTCTGGATGTTGGCGTGCAGGTATTGTCCTTCTGCGACATTAGAACAAGAAGGCAAATTGAGTCAACAACAACAAATGCAGTAATTATACACATCACAACTCTCATCTGGAAGTTATTGGGGCACTTGTAGAACACCTTCTCCTTGCTCACGCACCTAATCACCCGGATCTTGCACATTGGACAGTCATTCGAGGAAGGTAGCAGGCCTAGCCAAAACTGGTGCTTCCTGCTGCTATGATCGCCAGCTCTAGCAACAAGTCGCTGACGCCATCGAATGCACTCGCCACCACTAGATCCACTGTCGTCACCTACCTAGGGCTAGGGTTCATCGCAGTGGGGAGAAGAGGTGAGAGGGTGGACTGGTTGAGTTCAACTAGGCAGTCGGTCCACTTAAGTGAAGAAGAGACAGGGGCAAGATGGTCCATACAAAACAGTCCGCCATGTACGTACACCTACAGGTGTGTCCAATTTGGCATCGGGCGTAGAAAATGTCAAACTTGAAGAACACTTAGAATAGTAACGGTGTCTTTCCAATATCGCGAATGATATTTCTCTAAATTCACAAAATTTAAATGACATCATTTGAATTAACCCTTATTTTTTCTAGTTTCACTGTCACAGTGAGTAAGCTGTTCGGCTGATGGTTCTGGCAGCTGATAAGCCGACTGAAACTGATTTGTTGTTTGAAAAAGAAATACTGTTTTATAGTTGATAAGCGATACTGATAATTTAAAACGAACAGGATGTAACTCCTGTGGTCGGATTGAGAACCGCAAGTGGGCAGAAAGCTCGGCTTCCACCGAAACAAACACCACATCGGCGTTGCCGGGTTGAACTCTCCCTACCTGTGACAGAGAGTTCGGCTGGCATTGTTGGCGGCGGCGGCTGCTGCTTATTTTATTGTTTCAACAGTAATTTGTCTCATATGTCAAAGAAGCAGCAGCGGGCTGCGGCTGCCGATAAGCAGCCAGATCGCATCGCACCATGACCCAACCCATCATCACCAGCCAGCCACCGCCCACTAGCCCAACCCTCGTGCCAAGCTGCCAATCTTCTATCTGCAAAAGGGTCCCACTCGTCATCCTACGATTGAAGCACGTGGCAGAGAGGAGGGGAAAATTTCTCGCCGACGGCAGGTACCTGATATATCTATTCCCCGACGCCACCGCCGTCTTCCCTCCTCGCCCAGATCCAAATCCGAACCCCGATCCGCGCGCGCATGAATTTCTTCAGCTCCGTCTTCTCCGCCCCTGCCGAGGAGGATGGCGAGGAGCCGCAGCAGGACGGCGAGCAAGAGCCGGCGGCCCAAGAGTCCGGCGGAGGGTGGATTTTCGGCGGCCTGATCGATACGCTCAAGGAGGAGATCGAGGAGCAGCGGAAAGTGAATGAGTCGGCCGCCGCCGCGGAGGCGGAGGAGGCCCAGAGGAGGGATGATGGGGAGGCTGCCCCCGGAGGCGGGTGGATCTTCGGCGGGCTGATCAAGACGCTCGCGGAGGAGATTGAGGCCCAGCGGAAAGAGCAGGAGGCCATTGCAGCCGCCGCCGCGGAGGAGGAGGCGGAGCTCGAGCGGGGAGCAGAGGCTGATGCGGCGGCGGATGAGGAGGGAGAATCTTCTGGCGGCGGGTGGAGCTTTGGCGGCCTGATCAAGACTCTGGCGGAGGAGATTGAGGCGCAGCGCAATGAGCAGGAGGAGGCTGCCGCCGCGGCGGGGGAGGACAGAGAGCGGGGAACAAATGCGGAAGCGACGGCAGCGGATGGGGAGGAGGGGGACCAGGCTGGGGAAGGCTCAGACGGCGGGTGGAGCTTCGGGGGCCTGGTGAAGACGTTCGCGTCGCGGTCGGAGTCAGTGCTGGGAGGCTACCGACGCGACCTCGAGGACCTCGGCTCGGGGCTCCGCCTCGAGACGGCCGCGCTCCGGGCCGCCGCCGCGCGCGCCGCCTCGGCGCTACCTGGCGCGCTGGAGGCCGGTGCGTCCGCCGCCTCCGACAGGCTCGAGTCCGTCGGTCAGGCCGTCGACGATCTCGGTGCCGCCGCCGCCGGCCTCCTCTCGCATGCCAACGAGGCCCTCCGGTCCGCCGAAGCCGATGGTGACGATGGCGACAGTGCCCCCCGCCCCTCCGACGCCTCTGCTTCCGGTGCCTCCTGGCGCGCCTCCTTGCCGACGAAGAAGTATACCAGGTTCGAGGCCCAGGTCTTGGCGCTGCGCGCGGACCCTGCTACGTTCACCGAGGAGCCCGAGGACTCTGAGGGCTTTGGTAGATGGAGTGCCTCGTTCTCAATTGACGAGATGAGGGAACAGATAGAGGCGGTGCTCCATGAAAGCCCTGGATTGGAGAGCTTTGTGGAGAGGCTTGTGCCGTCAGTTGTGGATTATGAGACATTCTGGTGCCGGTATTTCTTTGCAGTTGATAAGCTCAAGCAGGCAGAGGATGTCCGCACAAAACTCGTGAGCAGGGCCATGTCGAAGGAGGAGGATGAAGAACTCAGCTGGGATGTCGATGATGATGATGATGATGTTGAAGAAGCCAATACCAGTGATCACAAAGAAGGCACAAACTCCATGGTAGATAAGAAAGAGGAGCAAACAGCGGAGCCTGTTAACTGTGAAACAGAGGGCAATAGGAAACAAGCAGCAGCAGTTGAAAATGACTCGGCAGAAGATAATGAGGTTGCTTTGGCTGCAGCCAAGGATGGTAATGGTGAATCAAGTGTTGAAGCATCGACACCAAAGGCAAGCGATGGGACGGGACGAGAAGAGAAAACCAAAGCTGGTGACTCATCTAAGGGGGGTGATTTCTCAGTGGTGTCACAACCATCAGTTCAGGAGGAAGATCTTAGCTGGGAGGAGATTGAGGACGTCGGTGATCATGATGAGAAGAATGGGGCCAGCCAACAGTCAAGCACTGTCAGCAAAGTGGAGGATCTCCGAAAACGTCTTAATTCCATGGAAGATGATGATGAGGACCTAAGTTGGGATGTCGATGAGTAGAAAGAACATGCGCAGTCCTGAACTGAGTTTGTTTTTGAAGAGAAAGCCCAGAACTGAGTTATCTGAAGGACTTCTAAATTAGAGACACTGCCATAGTTTTGCCTCCTTAAGCATGAATTGAATCTGTATGGTGCAGATGAAGATGCTCTGTAGATGGATTGGCACGATTGAACATTGGGATGAGACACCGGTGATTCAAATTCAGTGGGGGGCTGTATGTTTGATTAGTCTCCTTACAAGAACCCGATAGAATGCTAGTGTTTTTGTGTTAGTGTTGGTATTTTGTTTCCACACAGCATACATTTGTCGCAAGTCCAACATGTACCACTTTCCTGTTTGAATATGACACATAGATCATTTACATGTGTACTCAGATTTACATGGTAAACATCAAACTTGTGAACTATTCATCCAATTTGCTTGCAGTTCATGCTGTGCTATTAGTGGATAGGTAGTTTATGTGAACAATAATAATCACTTGAAATAACTATATTATTATTATGCAGGTCCTGCCTGTTCTACTTCGGAAGTTTTTTTTTTTTTGCCTTTTTCTGTTATTGTCACTGGTTATTTGAGCTTTAAGGTCACCACGGGATGTGTTTTATTTTTCGATATTAAATCTAAAATTTGTACGGAAGCTCTCGTAAGTGGTTTAGTGATCGCCAGAACTCCAGATAACCAGAAAGTTTCATACAGAGCAATGATATCCTCTTCTTGGCCCATTAATTTGGAATGCGCTGACGGGTTTATTACACAAGGTAACGGAGAACCAGAGACATCAGGCTGAATCCGCTCCAAATACGAGCCATGAATTATTTTTTTTCGAAACCACGAGCCATGAATTTTGATTGATCACATAATAGGGCGTCTCTTTATGGTAAACCTCAGGTCGTGTATCCAGGGTTAGAAACAAGGGGGACATCTGGAAAATTGAGGGGACTTGCCTCTTCGAGTCTGACTCCTGAGGGTCCTCTCTGTCTCCTCTCCTGTTCCGCGTCCGCCGCTGCCACGATCAGTTTCGAGTCAACCGCCGATCAGTTTCGCGTTCACCGGTAGCGACGCGAGACGGACAACTAGATGGACAACTACACAGGCTTGCAACTGCGTAAGTATTCTCCCGGTGCTAAATTCTGCTTCTAAGCCATTAACTCTCCCCCCTCTAGGTTCATGCGTTCTTTGGTGGTGGAGCTCGCAAAAGGGTGAAGCGATACACAGAAGCTGACATAGTTCTTCTTCTATGGGCAGATTTCTCCTACTCTCTGGATTCCATCCAAGGGACAGGATGGACGCGGCACTAGCGTTCGCGCGGGACAGCCCGCCGCTCTCCATCATCGCTGCTGCCAAGATTGCCAGTGTTCCCCTGACCATTGATCCAAGCCTTGCTTCTGGTTCAGCGCCCACGCTGTACCTTGGTTCTGTGTAAGTGATTGCAACCCATTGCAGGTTTGCCTCTATGATGAACTGTGCCTCTTTTTTTTTTTGTATCTTTATTCTGAACGCTAGCTTTGCTGTCAGTTTGCTGTGCTTTAGATTTTATTAACAGTAGTTGTGGTTGAGTGGTTTAATGTGCTAAATGCAAAAGGTTGCCTTAGAACACTAGCTTAACTGACATTGCTTTGTGTTACGATTGTAATTGTTGGAGGCTGCTTAGATTCCATCCTGGGGTTTGACAGAGCAGCTAAATTCTTCTTCTTCTTTTTCATCTCACAGTAATAGTCACGGTTCTGGAATTGCCCTTATTTTTTATGTGAACAGTGGCTGTTGGAACGTAATGCTCTTTCTCAATCAGAGCAAATAAATTTTTTTTGGTGAAAGAATTGATGTACTGTTCTGATTGTCGATTATCTTTTTGGCAGTATTGTTTTTTTTAAGCATTATGGATTCTCAAACAAGTTACCATTGATTCTGTGCAGTGACTTCATCCATGGTATAAGCACAATCCTTCGTTACATTGCTCGTGTTGCAATTGTTCCCAACTTCTATGGTCAGGATGCTATTCAGGCGGCACATGTACGTTTTGGTCAGTTATTTGCAATAAAAGTTGCTTGTCCACGATACTGACGATTGCCTTGTTATTCTATGTTGTTGTCATCTGCAGATTGATCAATGGCTTGAGTATGCCCCGGTCATTCCATCAAGCTCTGAATTTGAAGCCGCTTGCTCATTTCTAGATGGGTACTTGGCGTCTCGAACCTTCTTGGTTGGCCATAGTCAAATTGCTGACATTGTGGTATGGTCGAATATTGCAGGTGATTTTCATGTTTCTTTAATCGGTGCATATAGCCTACCCCAACTTGCTTGGGACTGACAGACTTTGTTGTTGTTGTTGTTGTTTAATCGGTGCATAACACTTTAACTTAAGGGTTAATTGGAACGGTGCCATTACAACTTTCGTGTTTCTGAGAAACGCCATTATAATTCATCTATTTTGAAATATACCATTATAATTCTGTTACTTTTTAAAATACACCATGCTATACGTATGATGCAGCCTCGACCCAACTGCAGACGTCTGGGACATACTAGTATTTTCGTCTCGACAATATTGCCCTCATTCTCCCCTCCTGCAGATCCAACGCGTAGACCCCACTTGTCATCCCCTTCCTCTCCTTCTCTTACCAATGGCCGTCGCAAGGGCTGCACATTCGAGCCAGCTGCTCACTGCCTCCTCACCGGCGTCGGCGGCATGCCCGTACCCGTGTTGCGGCCAGCGTCTGCGCGCTCCGAGGTGTGCTCATGTAGGCCATGCTCACCTTCGCTCGGCCATGGCGGAGCGGAGCTCCAGGCGCTACGCGCTTCGCCGTTGCCATGGCGGTGGGGCGAGGCCGACCACCATTTGCGCTGACACAATGGCCTTCGCCCTCGCAGCGAGAGACCGGCGGCGGCTTTCGGCAGCTAGCTTCAGCGCTTGCCCGGCAACAGAACGGCAGCAGCTGCTCATGAAGCTGCTTCGCTGCCCGGCCATGGCGCTGGCTGCCTTCTCGTCCGTGGCGGCGGCGGCGGAAAGACGCAGCGCGAGCTCGAGAGTGGGCGAAGGATGGCAGCGGCGTCGCAGGCGAGCAGCTTCTTCTTGGTCTTCTCTGCTCTCTCTCTCTCTCTCTCTCTCGCTTCGCTCGCTCGCTCGCTCCGAGCTCGCGCGAAGCACCGCCGAGCAGCAGCAGAGCTCCGGCCAGCCGCTGCCATTCCGATCCGCGAGCGCCGCCACAACCCCGGCCCAAGCTCGCGCGTGCACCTGGAGCTCCGCCCCACCATGGTCGCGCGGGAGCTCCGCCCCGCCATGGCTGCGCAGGAGCTCCGGCGAGGCCCCTTCCCGACTGCAATTTTCATGGAGCTCACCTTCTCATCGGCGCCATGGCCGCGGACGGGAAGGAGCGGACGGGAAGGAGGCAGGGCGGCGCGGACGGGAAGGGCTTCGAGCCCCCAGTAGCATTTCTTCGCTCGTCGCTCACTGATGACCAAGTTCGCCGGTGACGGAGCTCGCCGTCGCGTGCCGAGCCATCCGGGCAGCACGTGTGCGCTCGTCGCTCTCCGATGACCGAACTCGCCGTTGCGCTCCGAGCCCCATCCGCCCCCTTCAAGCAGCACACTTACGCTCGTCGCTCGTCTCTCGCCGACGACCGCTGCGCCATTGCCTGCCCTCACCTAGCAAAGCAGCGAAGCTGCGTGGCCCTACTACCGCGCCATGGCCGCGGCGCTCCGGAATGGGAGATTTGGGGTGGGAGGCAGGAGCTCGCGTGGACCTGTGTGGGCGGCGCGCGAGGCCGAGTTTCCTGCCCCCGGCCACCACATCCGCCGCCGTCCTCAGCTCCGGCCACCCTGTTAGCCCGCGGTGGGGCCGAGCTTCCGCCTCGCAAGACTGTGCATGGAGGTCCTGTGGGCTGCAACGGTGGGCCGAGCTCGCCTGCGTCTGCACGCTGCCGGGTAGAGCTTCGCCGCCACGCGTGCTACCCGTCCGTTGGCCTATGGAGGTTAGCTACAGGAGATGGAGGAAGGAGATGACGTGTGGACCCCGCGTGTCATTGTGCTGGAGACAGGGGCAGCAGCAGGGGCCTTTTGGGCCACACGAAAATACAGATGCTTGTGCGTGGACCCAACGGTGTTCAGAGTGTATAAAGTGGCGTATTTCAAATGAATAACGAATAGTAATGGCACCGTTCCAATATGACGAATAGTAATGGTGTCTTTTCAATCCGTGAAAGTTGTAATGGTATGGTTACAATTAACCCTTAACTTAAAGGGGCGTACCCAGTGCAGAGAGCTCCCGCTCTGTGCGGGGTCTGGGGAAGGGTGTTAGTGGCAAGCCTTACCCTCGCCTGTGCAATGCGAGGAGACCGCGACTCAAACCTGGGACCTTCCGGTCATAGGCGGTAAGACTCTACCGCTTGCACCAGGCCCGCCCTTCGCTTTAGGAACTGGTCAACGATGGGAAAGTCTAAGAAGGTCTACAAAATATCAAAACCTTACTCGCTGGTTCAACTGCATAGCTGTGGACTATGCGAGTACACTAGATGATGTAATAGTAGCTTATGTTGGGAAGAGAGGGATTGGGAAATCACCTGCACCAATCCTGAAAGAAAAGATTCATGATCCAACTGAGAACACCCCAGGTCCTGAGATAGATCTGCCAGGTGCAAAAATTGGGGAGGTTTGCCTTCGTTTTGCCCCAGAGCCTAGCGGGTATCTTATTGGTCATGCGAAGGCTGGGCTGTTGAATAAGTACTTTGCAGATAGATATAAAGGTCGTCTAATAGTTCGCTTTGATGACACCAATCCTTTGAAAGAAAGCAATGAATTTGTGGAGAACGTCCTGAGAGATATTGATACAATGGGAATCAAATACGACACAGTTACATACACATCAGATTATTTTCCAAAGCTAACGGAAATGGCTGAAAGTTTGATTATGCAGGGTAAGGCATATGTTGATGACACACCAAGGACACAAATGGAAGTCGAGAGGAGGGCGGGTGTTGAATCAACATGTAGAAACAATATTGTTGAAGAAAATCTATCATTGTGGAGAGAGATGGTTAACGGAACTGAGAGTGGTATGCAGTGTTGCTTACGGGGTAAGCTTGACATACAGGACCCTAACAAGTCACTCCATGATCCGGTTTACTACCGTTGCAACACTGACCCTCATCATCGTGTTGGTTCAACATACAAGGCCTACCCAACATATGATTTTGCTTGCCCATTTGTTGATGCGTTGCAGGGAGTGACTCATGCTCTTCGTTCAAGTGAATACCATGATCGGACGCACAGTACTATCGTATACTTCAAGATATGGGTCTGCAGAGGGTGGAAATATTTGAGTTTAGCAGGTTGAATATGGTTTACACCCTTCTAAGTTAACGTAAGCTTCTCTGGTTTGTACAGAACAAGAAGGTGGATGACTGGACTGATCCACGCTTCCCTACTATTCAAGGCATGGTACGTCGTGGCTTGAAATTGAAGCATTGACACAATTTATACTCGAGCAGGTAATTGTGTAATTAGCTAATGTTTATGACATTCTAACTATATGAGTGGTGTTCTTAACCTCTATTTTTTTTCTTCCTCAAAGGGTGCGTCAAAAAATCTAAATCTAATGGAGGGGGATAAACTCTGGACAATCAATAAGAAGATGATTGATCCTGTGTGTGCAAGGCATACCGCTCTGCTAAAAGACCAACATGTGCTCTTCAGTCTTACCAATGGTCCGGAGGAACCGTTCATTCGAATCTTACCAAGACATAAGAAGTATGAGGGTGCTGGAAACAAGAATACAACCTTCACAAACAGAATTTGGTTAGAGTATGCTGATGCATCAGTCATCACCACCGGTCAGGAAGTCACTCTGATGGATTGGGGAAACGCCATCATTAAAGAAATCAAGACAGAGAATGGAATAATTACTCAACTGGTTGGTGAACTCCATCTTGAGGGATCAGTGAAGTTGACCAAGTTGAAGCTAACTTGGCTGCCTGATATTGAAGGCCTTGTATCTCTATCTTTGGTTGAGTTTGACTACCTAATTACAAAGAAAAAGGCAACGTCTTCAAAAAAAACAAAGAAAAAGGTAATATACACTAACCCCATTAGAGACATTCCTTTACTACTTATTTGCTACAAAAGCTGTAGCTTGTAAAGTTTGCGCCTTTTTCACATAGATAAGCCATATACATTTCTTACCTGTATCACAGTTGATTATTTTATTTGTTGAAAACAACACCTAGTACCCAACTTATCTTAGCAGTTCAATATTTTTTATGAACCAAATGGTCATAAAACTCAAGACAGTACTTGAAAAGCTTAAACTTTTTAGGGAAGTTGGCCATCTACTCAAATTTCATTCTGCATTTGTCATGACACATGGTAGTGGAAAAGCAAACATGTGGAATCAGGTTCCTTGGGCAAAATAATAATATCGTTCATCAATTAATTTATGCTGTTTATTCTGTGGTTAAGAATCATCTACTTGTATATGTTATAAATCCTATTGTTTGGCCTCTTCGCAGTTGGAAGAAAAGGATGACTTCGTTAACCATCTTAATCCTTGCACACGACGAGAAACTTCGGCTCTCGGAGACCCGGACACGCGGAATCTCAAACAGGGAGAGATCATACAGCTTGAAAGGAAAGGGTACTACCGATGTGATGTTCCATTTACTGGGCCGTCCCAACCCATTGTTCTTTTCGCCATACCAGATGGCCGACAACAGTCCCCAGCAAACTAAAGTTTCATATCGGTTCCGGAGCACATGAATTATATGATGTTAGATTGGTACAGTAGTTGCAGTAGTTTTGATTTCTGGGCATTGTTGTTTGATTTGAATCGTGTTTAGTCAAGATGAACTGCTTTTGTAATGATCAAAGCTTGGGAAGTCTGAATGCAAGATTACTTCAGCGTTTTAATGTGGACTGTTATGCTTCGCTTTGCATGTTTGTGTGCAACTACCGATAGGACCTGCACATTGTTGAATGGATGCTATGCAATCGATCTTCGTTGAGACAACTATGTACTAGGATGAGCGGCGTGCTTCGCTGCGCCCCATACCCGTAGGGAAGGCTCCGGATAGCCTGCGCTGTCAGCATTAATGTAAACGTTGCATACTTGTGCAGTCCAAGCAACAGAAAGCAAAGTCTTTTAACGGCAGCCAAACCATGTAATCATTCAGCGTAAAGAACATATGAACTATGAAGTGAGTTTCAGCAGCTTTCGCAGGACGTTGAGCATTCCTAGATGACCCGGCTTCCTCTTAAATTGATATCCGGAACTGAGTTAGCTAGTCAATTTCTTGATGAGTCGACACATTTATAACATTAATGCTTTTGGTAAGGAGATGACACGAGATGAAAGTATCCAATGTGTAAAATATATAACCCTTCAAAATACCAATAACTAAGATTATGGTTTCCGTTCTTATTAGAATACCAAAAACTTGCAAGAAAAGCTAGCTATGAGGGAAGGCCCAATTCCCCACCTCCTGGGCTCATATGCCCCTACATATATATTTCAGCGGTTCTGATTCCTCCACGCAGTCGATGCCGGGTAAAGCTGTGCCAAACAAGCCACAAACAATGGCTATCTACTGTTTCAGTACAACGGACATCTTTTCCAGCTTTTGGGGAAAAAAAAGGAGAAAACGCATTTTGCATTTCCCAGTCCTTTCGGAACAGCAACTGCGAACTCAATAACTTGTGTCTTGTGAGAGATACAAGTTGCCAGTGCGATATCTACTGCAAACTTGAAACAAAATTCAACGCAGAACAGTCAGTCCAAGCAAGTCGTATTCTACATCAATACTGCCAACAGCCCAACATAAAAGTCGGTAACATTAACATGCGAGAAAAGAAGCAATAGTCAGTGCAGACCAGTCCTTGTAGCTGCTACATTTATGGAACCGAGAGAACGAGAAAAATGTCATCGATGCGTAAGCTTCACTTCTTCAGACTACCCTCAAGTCGTTCGATAGCAGCACCCACACGGGTTTGATTTCCTTTTCCCTCTGTCAAATCGTTTGATGGTTTCGAATTTGCAATCTCCAAGTTGGCCTTTTCTGCCAGCTTCAACTGTACCCAACCTGTAGAAGCAACCATTGAAAATCAACAGCAGATTTTGCTGGCTTGTAGCAATGTACAATGACCAAATAAGTTGTCAAAAATAAACCTACAGAAACACAAAGTTTGTGCAACAGACTCCCATACTGTGATGCGTGCACTTCAAATACTAACCATGATTTCAATTCTAGAACACTCTATAATAAAGAAACGATAGTTTGGTGCCAGATGAAAAGGGTATCCATCTACTGGAAGCTTTTAGCTAACAGATCAAATTGGAATCGGGTTACGTATGAAGGTTTACTCCCCAATGTGAAGAGCCAAAGATGCTAGTGCAATTATCTAACTAGGAGGATTTCAATGCACCCTATTACTGTCATGGAACACTAGAACGTCTGTGACTAATTGACCATTCCATTATCAGCTCATATTAAGGAAGTAAGAAGATGATAAACGCCCTTAATTGTTTAGTGCAGAGTGCAGAAATTTGTGCTTGAGTTCATGACGAGATGAAAATACCAAGTGGATAGCAGATGCCAGCACCAAGAGCAGATCCCACCAATACATTCCTTGCACGCCACATCATTGAGCCTGGCACTGAATGTACAAATGTCAGTCCCGTTGAAGTCAGGATGCAAACCACTATCGCAAGTTAGCACTGTCACAAGTTGCACTGATTATTTCCATAGTAAAATCAAAAGAAAATATAAACAATACGATAAGATGGTAACTCATATGTGAAGGAACAGATAAAATAGAAACAAACCCCAAACAATATTTACAGTTTCTGAACATGCGGGTTCACACCAGTGTAATCCAGCAGACATCTTTTTATGAGCTTCTTACTCAGCCCAACTAGTACCGAGTTACTGACATAAAAAATCAAAGTGTCTTCATAGATACAAAACTGAAACTAGAAAAATCTTGAAACATCTATTCCATGCCAGGCATTAGAAAACCATAGAAAGCCACCAAAGACAGAAACCTTATAGATGAAGACAAATGAAACATATTGGCAGAATTTGACATCGGCCTGCATTAAGAATCTCATAACAAATAGCCACCATTAAAGAGGATTAAAAATACCAAATGCTCTGCTTCTGCTCATTCCATAATAGTTCTTTTATGTGCTTCATAGTACTTCACATATTTCATACGATTACTCAAAATCATACAATGTTAAATCAGAACAATACTTTAGGTATCTTTCCACAAACCAAAATTATGTTAGAGACAGAATATGGTGAGAGACATACATATAAGCCCAAAAGCAGCTGCAGTAGCAGAGCCAGCTGCGGCAATGTTGAATACATCATGAACTCCACGAGTGTCGATAAGAAGGTTCTGTATGCCAAAGAAAGTCGCAGTAAACATCCCCAGCCGAACACCCCCGACTAGTGAACCTTTGGCAACCCGGATGAACCTTTTCTCCATGGCATCTCTCATCAATCTATACTGTTCACGCTTGTCAGTGGTGCTTCCCATCTTCAGCATCACCTCGGCATCCTTACTCTGTTACAATACATGACACATACATTGCTTTCAGGGAAGGCATTCTCAACTTGTAGCATGTTCACAATTCTGGGAAGAGGATAGAACTATTCACCTAGCTTAAAAGGGAGACTGAGGTAAGTATTATATCTATTGAAGTTTTGGGAAGTAGTGGAAATCTAATTTTCATTCAAATATATTTGTAGATTCATTAGTACAGTATGGACTGTTATATATTTAATAGTTTTACTTGATTGCAGAGATAATTCTAGAATCATATGTGGAATTCCACAATGTCCGCTTCAACTAAATGGTGAGATATGAAAGACCTTGGTATGATTTTAGGAATGACGAAAACAGCAGGAGAAATGGACAACAATACAAAATGGCCATAGCAATAATAATGATCCATTTTATATTTTTATTATCGGTTGAATAAGTCTGTTTGAAACAAGTCATCTAGCTAACATACTACGACCTAATATAGAGTAACAGAACAAAAGATGCGGCAAGGAGACTAGAGTAGAGCGGCAACTCACGACGGAGGCGGAGGCCTCCCTGCTCCCTCCGTATAGCAGCCCAGCGAAGACCCCAACGAGGGTGGCCGTTCCCCAGTTCACCGTCCCCACTGCCGAAGCCCTCGAAGGCGAACCAGCAGTCGCCTCCACCTCCTCCTGGATCATCCATCCGCACTCAGACACGTCAGAAGCGGGGAAAAAAAGGCACAAAATGAGCGGGCTGCAGGCACGATCATCCGAACAAGAAGCACGAGGCGGCGGGGCTGACCGGAGGGGCAGGAGAAGCGGGAGGAGGAGGAAGGGGCGGTGCCGCGGGCTGGACAGGAGGAGACGCCGAGGCGGGCATGTCGCGACCTCTGCGAAACGCGGTCGGCTAGGCACGAAATTAAGAGGTGATTCGGGCGCACAGGACCACAGGGTTACTTGCTGGAGGAAGGCGGCCGGCGCTGGCCGTGGTGCGTCGCGTCGCGGCGGCGAGATTACCTGTGGGCGGCGGGAGCCGCGGGCGTCCCTGCGATTGAAGTGGAGGAGCAATTGGGAGAAGGGGAACGGAGTGTGGTGTGGGTTTTGCCCGTGGGCTGGGCCCGAATTTTGTGTTTTTCAGCCCTTTTTTCGAAAGATTTTCACAAATACGTCCCTGACAGTATCCTTTAAAAAAATAGACTCTGACCTCGGCGCCGTGACAATTGACACCGAGCTTACACATCTCGGCGTCAATTGCTTTGGCACCGAGGTCCAGGGTCATTTTCTGCGTGTCGTTGACGTGGCGCGGACGCGGCATGAGTTCGGCGCCATAGATCTTAGCGCCGAGCTCGACGCCGCTTTCTCTGGCGCCAACCTATCTGACATGGCTGGCCCTAACGTGCATGCCTCCGCCGGAGTACTATTATATCTGCAGTAGAGCCATGTTCTGATAGACTACAGGGAGTAGTACTAGCCTGGTAGACTGTACGAGCTCGTGAATGAATGCTCAAGCCAAGGAGAAACGCCATGTATTATCTGGGCTCACATCTCCATGCGGTTCACAGCAATTTCGAGCTACAGTGTGGACAGTAGCTGGCTGTAGCAGCAAATTTTCACTTTTTTTTTGAAACAATCAACTTTGACTGAACAACGCACGCGTAATAATTAGAGAAACAGTAGCTCTTCAGAGTAGTACTCCGTCCTAAAAAATAATGCAATTCTCGACTTCTCGAGCAGTCAAACAATTTTAATTTTGATCAAAATTATATAAAAATACTAATATTTTTAATACAAATAAATATCAATAGATTAGTGACAGAATATAGTTTTGGAATACAACTTATTTCAGACATAAATGTTAATACTAATCACTGTAAACTTGGGCTCTGTTAGCTTGAACTCAGCTATGGTACAGTGTTTTTCTCTCGCACAACAACAAATCAGCGAACAGTATTTTTCAGTCTGACTTTTTAGCTAAGCGAACAGGGCCTTGGTCAAATTTTAGACAAATTGATCGGCACGAATCCCATAATTGTATTTTTTTTGGACGAAGGTGGACTAACCCCGCCCTTATTACTCCTTTTTTCTTTTTTTTTCCTTTATTTTCCACTACATGCTGTTGGTTTGCAACTTAGTATATTGGTATGGCGTTGCCTTTCCTCGACTTATCACTGCCTATGTGTCGCCTAGGCTTATGGTCACTG